CAGAAGCCCCCAGGCGAGGGCAAGCGCGCAGAGTGACTGCGCATGCCGAGCAGGGAGGGGGGCCACCTCTCCTCGCCGGCAGGGAGCTGCGGCGCGACCAGGGGCAGCGCGTGCCGGGCTGCCCGCGGGGCGGCTGTAAGCTGCGAAACAGGGCCAGGAGCGACGGAACAAGGGGCGATGAGGAGCGGCAGCTGATCGCTGCAAAGGCACGGAGGACAGGGCGGAAGGCGACGGCGAAACCCGGGAGCAGCTCATCGCTGCAAATGCATGGACAGTGGAACCGAATACAGGAGAACCCCAGGACGCGCGGCAGGAAGTGGCGCTAGGCTCAGGAACGCCCCCTCCCCCCCACGGTTTCGTGGCCGTCCTGGAGCGCGGCCGCCGGCCTGGACCAAGGGCGCCTGTCTCCGCGGCGGGGCGTCGCCTTCCTTGCCCGTGCCAACGCCGCGCCACAGGCGCCGCTCGCGCAGCTGTTTCCAATCGACCCCGAGGCGCAGCGCGTCGCCCATTGACCGCGCGCCCCCTTTGCGGTGGCGGAAGGAGTCCAAGAAGCTGGCGGACGGCTGCTGGCCGTGCAGGAGCGGGTCGAGCACCGCCCCAGGGCCGGGCGCGGCGTGTTTCTGACCGAACGCGTGCCAGGCGCCTGTGAACATCGCCCCTGGAATCAGTTAGAGTCGCTTGATATCTTTGCCCAGGGCCCCCCCGTAAACGCCCCGCTGCGCGCCTTCGATCCTGACTTTGTAAAGCGGCTTTCCCGCGTCGGGATCCACGGGTTCAAGCCGCCGGCGGGCGGCGCGCCGCCCGCCCCCGTCGGGCGCGGCGGCTCGCTGGTTCCCGGCCTTGCTGCTGCTGCTGCCGCCGCGTCGCCGCCTGTCGTCTGTCGCCTGCCAGACCCCGCCAGGCCGTCGACGCTGTCGGGCAGCAGGTTCCGCCCCGCGGGCGACGAGGGGGCCCGGGGGTCGACGGTCCTCGGGGCCAGGCCCGGTGCCCAGCCGCTCCAGGCAGGCGCGCCAGCGGCGCGCGCTGGCCACAGCGCCGCCGCTCCTCGGCGCCGGGACTCGCAATGTTGCGGGGGAGGGCGGCGCCAGGATGGACCGCATCCGTCCGCGCGCCCCTGCCGCGGGCTTGAAAAGGCCACTCGAGGAAGTGCGCGGGCGGGTGGTCGCCTGCTCCTGCTAATCTAGCGCTCGCGGCCTCCGTTCCAACCAACGCCTGCTCTGTCCCTAGGCCGTCGGCGTCGGCGTCGGCGTCGTCGGCGCCGTCGTCGTCGTCGTCGGCGTCGGCGTCGGCGTCGGCGTCGTCGTCGGCGTCGTCAGCGTCGGCGTCGTCGGTCGTCTACCGCCTGTCAGACCTCGCCAGGCCGTCGACGTTGCCGGGCAGCAGGCCCCGCCCACGGGCGGCGAGGGGGCTGGAGGATCGCCAGTTCTCGAGGCCAGGCCCAGTGCCCAGCCGCTTCCAGGCAGACGCACCAGCGTCGCGCGCTGGCCGCAGTGCCGTCGCTCCTTGGCACCGCGACTCGCACTGTTGCATGGGAGGGCGGCGCCAGGATGGAGCGCATTCGCCCGCGCGTCGCTGCCGCGGCCTGAAAGGTCAGTGGAAGTGCGCGAGCGGGCGGCCGCCTGCTCCTGCTCGTCTGGCGCCCCCAGCTTCTCTTCCAACGCCTGCACTGCCCCCATGTCGACGGCGTCGGCGTCGGCGCCGTCAGCGTCGGCATCGGCGTCGTCGTCGGCGTCGGCGTCGGCGTCGACGTCAGCGTCGGCATCGCCGACGGCGTCGGCGTCGTCGGCATCGGCGTCGTCGTCGACGTCGGCGGCGGCGGCGGCGCCGGCGTCGGCGTCGGCGTCGGAGTCGGCGTCGGCGTCGGCGTCGGAAAGCAGTCAGCAAGGGTGGCGGGGCTCTGCCACAGGGGCCCAGCGCGTCCTCCAGGTCTCTGTCGAAGCACTGGCCGCGCGGGGATGGAGGGTCAGCCGAGGAAGTGCGTGGGCGGGTGGTCACCTGTTCCTGCTCGTCTGGAGCCCCTGGTTTCTGCTCCACCGCCTGCTCTGTCTCCAAGTCGTCGGCGTCGGCGTCGGCATCGTCGGCGTCGTCGTCGTCGTCGGCGCCGGCGTCGGCGTCAGCGTCGGCGTCGTCGGCGTCGGCGTCGTCGTCCCCAGCTTCGTCGACGGGGGGGCAGGCCGCGCTCGTACCAGGACAACTGGGCGCAGAGGGGCCCTGCGCACTCCTGGACAACGGCCGCGCAGCGCCGCCCGCCCCCACCTCGTCCGCAAGGGGGCCGTCATCTCCAGATGGGCGTCTGATCGTCGCAAGTGCCCCTTGCGAATCTTCCCCAAGTGGGCGACTGATTGTCGAAAGCGTCCTGTGTGAATCTTCCCCAGACAAGCAACCGATCGTCGCGAATTTACTCTGAGAAACGGGAAGGGAGGAAGGAGGGGGGGCATCATCTCCAGGCATCCGACTGATCTTTGCAGGTGCCCTGCGCGAATCTTCCCCAAGCAAGCGACTGATCGTCGCAAATTCACTCAGGGAAACGGGAAGCGCGGAGGGAGGGGGGGCATCATCTCCGGGGAGGCGACTGGTTGTCGCAAATGTTCTGTGCGAGTCATCCCCAGGCAGGCGACTGACCGTCTCATGATACGGGAGGTCAGTGCCAGGCCAACCAGGTCCTGACGGCCCCCGCGACACCCTGGGCCCAGCGAGCGGACAGCGTGTCTCTCCGCCTGGCGGCGTAGGAGGCCAGGAAGAGCTCGGGACGCAGCGCGAAGCAGGAGGCTGTGCAGCTTCGACGCACATTCCCCGCCCAGTAGTTGTGAGACGCATGCAATGGCCAGGTTTCAAGCCGATATCGCACATGTGTTGATTACTCATAAGCCGTACTTCGGCCATACGCTCGAAACCGTGCTCGGCGAAGCTCGGCGCATACATGCCGAGGCCAACTTAGCACAGAAGAACAAAGACCTCGGGCTCGCAAGCTGAAGCAGGGTCGGCTGCGAGCGGGGCCGCCGAAGCAAGGCCTGTGGGGCCCGTCGGAAAAGCTGTATGACCTGCTCGCTGGCGAGCCGCACGCTGTCTCGCGCGGCGGGCTGCCCGGACTGAGATGGCATCATCGCCTTCGCGGCCCTGCTGCCTATGCCAAGCCAACTTCGCTGAGTATCATCCGGGGGGCCTTGTTGACTATGCCAACCATGACTGTGCCAACCTCGCTGTTGCTGCCACTCTGACCAAGCCCCGCCAGAATGCCACGCGCGCATCTCAGAGATCTGGGTGTGGAAAAAAGGAAGCAATAACGAACATAATAGGGATAGATCAGGTAAGGGCAGTGGCCTCATGCCGGCCAGCACCTTGACCCAGAGCGGCTAGAGCCAAAGGCTGCGGAGCTGGTGGGGACAAGCGAGGCGTCAAGAATTGCTCAGCGTCGACTGCTCTACATGGCTTGCACAACAGAGATTGCACCCCACATGGCTTGCAAACGTAAGTGTGCATCTACAGCACCACATCGAGTGCGAAAAACACACTGTGTGGGGCCTGCGCTGGGTACCCTGCGTGTGTCGGCATATGTTTCTGTAACGCCCCCAGCCAGGCCCACCCTGGGACCAGGAGCGGTGTGTATGAAGGGGAACTGGGACACAGAAAAATACACACAAATAAAAGGATTCCCCATATGTTCTATTGTTTTCTGGGTTTTTGTCTCCCCCCCACTTCCCATATTTTCCCATATTCTCATGGAAATCGAAGATTCATTGTGTCTGTGTGTTTCTTTCCCTCCTGAGTGTACGCCCCTGGCGTGGCCATGGGGGCAGGCACGCCCGTCCTTGTCCCAGGGTTGGGCCTGGCCATTGGCGGACATGTCCGAAACGGGTACGGAAAACATGGGTACGGCCATGGCCTGGCCTGGTACAGTCGGGGCGCTGATGAAGGAACCCTTTTCGTTGGGGAGGGGCTCGGTGTTCCTTGGCTGTTTTGCAGTTCGCCTTTGGTTTTGCTTAGGGCTTCGACGGGAAATCGAAGTTTAACTTATGGGAAAAAGGGCCTCATTCCTTATTTAGGGTTCCTTAGGTCAACGCCCCGACTGTAGGCCATGGGCCTGGTCATGTGGAGCGTCCGAGATGGCCTGGCCATGGGCCTGGCTATGGGCCAGGGCCCATTTCGGGCCCTCACGTGGCCTGGCCATGGGCCTGGCCGTGTGGACGCCCGAAGTGGGTACAGTCGGGGCGTTGACCTAAGGAACCCTAAATAAGGAACGAGGCCCCTATTTTCCATAAGTTTAAACTTCGATTTCGCATCGAAACCTAAGGAAAATCCAAGGCAAGCTGCGAAACAACTAAGTAACACGGAGCCCCTCCTCAACGAGAAGGGTTCCTTGTTCAGCGCCCCGACAGTAGGGCCCATTTCGGGCCTTCACGTGGCCTGGCCATGGGCCTGGTCATGTGGACGCCTAAAGTGGGTACGGCAAAAGTGAGCACGACGCCCAACGGCAAATGTTACCCAAAACCGACAGCGGCCGCTGGGCATCGCTGTGACGTCCATTCCCTGTGCTTTTTTCGGTTTCGTGCGTGGTTTTTTCGCCAAATGATCAAGGATTCTCCTCGATGGCTCTCGCCGAGAAAAAATGCACACGTCCGAGCGATGCCAGGGCCGCTGTTGGGCATGTGGCCTTCTGTCTCACATGGACAGGGCCCGCGGCCGCACCGACAGCGAATCCTGCTCACAGAAGGAGCAGGCTGCGGCCTTTTACACCCACTCATTCGTACCCACTTCTCGGCGGCGAGCCCGGGGGGGGGAAGGGAGAAGGAGAAGGCCTTCACAGAAGGCGGCGGGACTTCTCAGAAGCCCTCGCGCCTTCTGACAAGTTTTCTGCGTCCTTGGTGCAGGCTCCAGAAACTTCCCAGAAGTCTGGCGGGCGTCCAAGCCTTCTTACAGGGCCTTCTCCTTCTCACTTCCCTCCAGGCGCGCCGCCGATTGTCGATCGTGTCGGATACGAGTAGATCTCGTCGCCCGACCACCCGTATCGCGCCGCGCCCGCAGGAGGCGACTGCTCGGCAGCCTGCGGCGGGCAACGACTGGCGACGACAGGCGACGTCCAGCGACGACCGGCGACGACCGGCGCCGACGACGACGGCGACGACGGCGACGACGACGAGGGATGACGAGGGACGACGACGACGACGACGACGACGACGACGACGACGACGACGACGAGGGACGACGGCAACGATCAAGGCTTTTTCTTCGCTTTGAGCCCCCTCCCCGGCGTCTAAAGGCCTTCAGGGGAGAGTTCGGGGGCCTCCGAGGCCTGACGGTGCGTAAGTGACCTCCAGGGGCCTCCCCGTGTCCGAGGACCTCAGGAGACCTCTGGAGCCGTCTTGTGAATTGACTGCTTTGGATTATTTTGGGCGGGAGGCCCTCGTCGCCACCGCTGAGTCCGCCTCGAGACCCAGGTCGACGCACGCTCCAGGACAGGTCTGGAAGACGACGACGACGACGAGCGGCGACGACGACGACGACAACGACGACGACGACGCGGGGACCACTTGGATTATTTTGGGCGGGAGGCCCTCGTCGCCACCGCTGAGTCCGCCTCGAGACCCAGGTCGACGCACGCTCCAGGACAGGTCTGGAAGACGACGACGACGACGACGAGCGGCGACGACGACGACGACGACAACGACGACGACGCGGGAGACCACTTGGATATTTTTATTTTGGGCGGGAGGCCCTCGTCGCCACCGCTGAGTCCGCCTCGAGACCCAGGTCGACGCACGCTCCAGGACAGGTCTGGAAGACGACGACGACGACGACGAGCGGCGACGACGACGACGACGACAACGACGACGACGCGGGGACCACTTGGATTATTTTGGGCGGGAGGCCCTCGTCGCCACCGCTGAGTCCGCCTCGAGACCCAGGTCGACGCACGCTCCAGGACAGGTCTGGAAGACGACGACGACGACGACGAGCGGCGACGACGACGACGACGACAACGACGACGACGCGGGGACCACTTGGATTATTTTGGGCGGGAGGCCCTCGTCGCCACCGCTGAGTCCGCCTCGAGACCCAGGTCGACGCACGCTCCAGGACAGGTCTGGAAGACGACGACGACGACGACGACGAGCGGCGACGACGACGACGACGACAACGACGACGACGCGGGGACCACGCCGACGCTGGCTACGGCAACGACAACGACGACGACGACGACGGCGACAACTGTGACGACGACAACGGCGATGGCGACGGCGACGGCCACGGCCACGGCGACGGCGACGGCGACGGCAGCGGCGACGGCAGCGGCGACGGCAGCGGCGACGGCAGCGACAGCGGCAGCGGCAGCGGCAGCGGCAGCGACAGCGGCCCCTCCTCCCTCTCCTCCTTCTCTTCCTCCTCCTCCTCCTCCTCCTCCTCCTCCTCCCCCCCCTCCTCCTCCTCCTGTTGGTTGAGGGGGCCTCCCTCCTCCCCAAGAAGGCTTCTGGAGACCTCGAGAAGCCCGAGGGGGCCCAAAACGACCTAAACCTGGACCCTCGGGCATCGATCCCCAGTCCTCCCCAGTCCCCGTGAGGTCGCCTCGCCCCTGCCGCTGTCCTCGGCCGCCGGGAGGGTCGGGAGGGCCACGCCCAGGGAGGACACGGTGGAGCAGACGCAGAATCCGCTGGTCGCCCCTCTGGTCCCGGGGGGCCGAGGAGGAGGAGGATAGCGCTGGAGCATTCAGACGCTGCAGGAACACTCGCGCACAGAGCTGCGAGAAAGCGTGGCCGCACGCGACCGCTAACGGCGAGCCCTGTCAAGCGGGCCTGGGCGGCACCCAAGTAACCGTCTCGTCACATTTGCGTCCTCTGATGAATTTGCGCCCACAAAGGCTACGATCCCACTCGATCTCAATTTTCAAAAAAAAAAAAAAAAAAAAAAATGAGAGAGCGAGCGAGCCGTCCACGTCCAAGATGCACTGGCAGTGGATGGGGAAGCACGTGGCACTCGGGCTCACGCCGGCGCTTCAAAGCAGAAGCGCCTGGCCGCTGAGCTGGCCAGTGGTTGGCGCAGTCAGCAGCGCCATCCCTCGAGGAGCGGGAAGAGTGTGTGTGGGAGGAAGCTGCTGCAGTCGCTTGAAACGAATGTGCGTGGTGTTGTAGCGAGAGCCTTCGAAAGAGAATCGCCCTCAATCCTTGAAGCTGTCGCGAACGTAAAAAAAAACATACACGCGGTGCCGAAGCGAGCGACATTTTGAAAACGAGCCGCGCTCCATCCTTGCAAATGATGTGAACGCTAATAAAAAGAATGCGCGAGGCGCTTCGAGAGCAACATATATTTAATCGCTTCGCTCATTCCGCCGGCCCATATTGTCGCACCGTTGTGGGCTAGCCGAGTTTTGGGGCCTCTTGGGGGCCGTTTTGGGGCCTCTTGGGGCCTCTTTTGGGCCTCTTGGGCGCCTCTTGGGGCGTCTTGGGGGCCTCTTGGGGGCCTCTTGGGGCCTTTTTGGGGCCTCCTGGGCGCCTTCTGGGGCGGAGGGCTCGATTTTTCAGTTCTCGGTTCCCCTCTTGAGCCCCTCTTGGGCCCGTCTTGGGGCCTCTTGGTCCGTCTTGGGCGGCACTTGGGCCGTCTTGGGGGCCCTCCTGGGCCGTTCCGGGGCCGTCTTGGGAGCCTCGTGGGCCGTCTTGGAGCGGTCTTGGAGGCCTCTTGGGCCGTCTTGGAGCGTCCGGAAGCCGAAAAAACCTGAACGCAAACAAAAATCAAAAAAAACAATGAAAATCAACGATTTTGGCCTCTTGGGGCCCTCTTCGGAGGCCTCTTGGAAGGCCCTTGGGGCGTCTTGGAGGCCTCTTGGGCTGTCTTGGGGCCCTGTTGGGCGTCTTCGGGCGATCTTTGGCCGTCTCGGGGCCCTCTTGGACCGTCTTGGAGGCTTCTTGGGGACCTCTTGGCCCGTCCTGGGGCCCTGTAACAGGGCTCCGGCATCTCTGGCCCGACCTTGCCGGGACCTTGCCGGGGACTTGCCGGGGACTTGCCGGGACCTTGCCGGGGTACTTTCGTCCGGGGACCCCCAGGGGCCGCCCCGCGCGCGCGAACTAGAAATACTGTTAACCAGGTACCGGAGATCTTAGCACGCGAGAGCAACATATATTTAACATGTGAAAATGAGCCGCGCTCCATCCTCGAAACTTGTACAAACTTAAGACACAACGAATGCACGCGGCGCTTAAGCGAGCATCACTTTGAAAACGAACGACCCTTCATCTTTGAAACTGGTGCACACTTTACATGCAAAAGGAAATACATGCGGCGTTTAAGCGAGAGCAACATACATATATAATTACACATAGAAATACATAAACGAGCCGCGAAGCATCCTTGAAATTTGTGCAAGCGTACTACAACTAAAGGACTGCACGCGGCGCTTAAGCGATAACAGCATGTTGAAAACAAGCCACCCTCCATCCTTGAAGCTGGTGTAGAATTTCAAGGCTCAGAGACATACATGGTAAGAAGTCTCAGGCGAAACGCCTGGCCCGCCCTAGCGACACGCCAAGGGGTGCGACAGGGAGCAGTCAGTTATAATGCAAATGGATGGACTAGGACGAGTATGGGGAGGAAGGAAAATCGCACTCTTCTGTTGCATGTTCGCCGTTCTTGGGACGTCTGCAAGCACTGGATACCTCATTGGAAGGGAAAGAAGCGGAGGAAGAGGAGGAGGAGGAGGACGAGGACGGAGGAGGACAGAAGACGACGTGAGACGCAGGACGAAGAGGAGGAGGACGAGCAAGGAGGGAGAGGGAGGAGCCAAGATGGCCCAGAGGTGGCCCAAATTTCGGGCCCTGAACAGGCCCCAAAGTGGCATTCGGATGGCCCCCGAACGTCTCCCAAACCGCCGAAGATAGCACCATGAGGGCCCGAGATGTACTGGTGAAGGCCCCAGAATGGCCCGCAGGATGGCCCGCCGGGGCCGCAAGAGGGCGCCCAGATTGGCCTCAGGATCGTAGGTCGCGGCAGAGTCACATCTGGACAATGAAGCACGCCCAAGAGGCAGGTGTTTTTTTCAGCGCCATGTTGGAAGGAGAGGAAGAAGGAGGAAAGCTGAGGGGACGCAGCGTACAGAACGGACGAGCTCGCGCGCCGTCAGAGCGAACAGGGATCGCCACAGCGGGAGCAAGAGCAGAAGGAAGAGGAGCAAGAGGAGCGCGAGCCGGGAAAGCAAGTATAGGGGGCCACTTGCGAACCCTACCCCTACCTCCTGCGACTTCTGAGGGGGAGGGTGGGGTTCACTTCGCTCGGGAGCTCCCCCTCAGAAATCGTGGGGGGTAGGGGTAGCGTTCGCAAGTGGCCCCCTAAAGCAGGACAGTCAGACGTACAGTCGGGGCCTTGAAGAAGGAACGCTTTTCGTTGGGGAGGGGCTCGGTGTTCCTTAAGTGTTTCACAGCTTGCTTCAGGTTTTCCTTAGGTTTTCGAAGGGAAACCGAAGTTCAACTTCTGGAGAAAAGGGGCCTCGTTCCTCATTTAGGGCTCCTTAGGTCAACGCTTCGACGGTATAGAGGAAAGAGAACTATGCACATACACCGATTCTGGCCAGGACCATCCTGAGCCCAGGATCGGTGCATACGCCCTCTTACCTTGGCCAGGAAGGTATATGCACCGATCCTGGGTCAAGGACTGGCGTTGTCAGGATCGGTGCATGTGCATAGTTCTCTTCGCCCGACGGTAAGCATCCCGCGGCCGCAGATCCACCCGAGAGAAAAAACAGGCCGCGAGGAACGCGGCAGCACTGGCAGATGACGTGTGCTCCGCTCTGGGGGCCCGGTCGCCCGACTGGGGCCTCGGAGCCGAGCCGCGGAGGCTCCGAGGGACCCCGGAGGCTGGGCGGAGGAGGAGGAGGAGGAGGAGGAGGAGGAGGAGGAGGAGGAGGAGGAGGGAGGAGGAGGAGGAGGAGAGGAGGAGGAGGAGGAGGAGGAGGAGGAGGAGGAGGAGGTGGAGGAGGAGGAGGAGGAGGAGGTGGAGGAGGAGGAGGAGAGGGTGGAGGAGGAGGAGGAGGTGGAGGAGGAGGAGGAGGAGGAGGAGGTGGAGGAGGAGGAGGAGGAGGTGGAGGAGGAGGAGGAGGAGGTGGAGGAGGAGGAGGAGGAGGTGGAGGAGGAGGAGGAGGCGGACCTGAGGAGGAGGCGGACCCGAGGAGGAGACTGGGCGAACCTGATGAAGGGGCCCAAAGACACACAAATAAATACACACAGATAAAATAATCCCCCATATTTTCCCATATTTTCTGGGTTTCTGTCTTCCCGCCCACTTCCCACATTTTCCCACATTTTCAGGGAAATCGAGGATTAATTGTGTCTGTGTGTTTCTTTTCCCCGTGACCTGAGGAGGCCCGGCCGAAGGGCAGCGGGCAGAGCCAAAACACCCATGCACGAATTCACCCCGAACGGCGCCGTCGGAGCACTGGGGGCCCAGGTTCGGCGACGCGGAGGGGAGCGGATCGCTCGCGCAGAAGAGCGTGCCACCGATAGCACTCCGAGCGGCCCTCGCCGATGACGGGGGGAGCTAGGAAACGAATCGGAGAGGAGGCGAAGATCCGGCTCACCCTGGAAGGGATAGCTGGACCTCCGCCTCCGGAGGCGAGCGCGGGAGGAAATGGGGCAGCAGAGTGTGGGACCTTCGTAGCAGGCGCAGCCCCGTGCGGGCCCAGGCCGTCACTACCGGCCACGCGGCAAAGACAACGCTCGCACGCTGCAGAATTGCCTTATGTTCCGCTGTGGGTTCCGTCTGTGCGGAAGCCCCCCGAGCTTCCCAACACTGACAATCAAAACCCCGCGACACCTACACCGGCAGAGCGGAAAATAAACGCACGGGCCGGTATCAAACAAAACAGCCTTGAGCACGCAACGAAAATGTCACGAAATTCGGCGCTTCATGATGTCGTGTTCGTCGTGACAGGCGTTGAGCCATTGGGCAACTTCTTCCCACGGCGGGGATCTTGACGTTGTCGAGCCGTGCGTGTGAACCTGCGATCAGCGTGATGAGATCTTAGGTCTTGACAACTTGTACCTCTAATGTTAGGCTGACGCGGTATTGCGCCGCAAATGCCTGCAGGTCGTTTCCGTATCGTGCCAAGATTGGGTGTGTGGGCGGCTTGTGCAGTGGTTGGTGTGCGTTTGTTTTGATGGCATCTTTTAGCTTGATCACTTTTGTGCAGGTTGCAACTGGTAGTGTAAAAAGCGATAGTGGCGTGGCCTGGGGGTCGGGTCGGAGGTGTGGGTGTGGTAAGTGTTGCTTGCCGTCTTGGTGAACGGAGATCTCTTTGTTGTAGTTGTTGAGGTATCTGTGCCAGTCAGTTAGTAGCAGGTCGTCGACTGGGAAACTGAATGTGTATGTTTTGGTCGATTCGTTGTAATATACTGCATGGTGCCAATGGTATCATTCTTGGACTTCCTCGTCTGTGTCGTTGGCGTAATGACAGTAGGCAGTCCAGCCGCTGGGTAGGTGCATGTCGTGGTACTTGTTTGGCTTGAGCGGTGATAGGCGAACTTCATGGAAGTCAGACTCTGCTCATCTTGACCCATGGGTCGTCTCTGTCGTTGTGGTCTTCAGATTCTGAAGTGTCGTGGCATAGATTGGGGTAGTCTTGCCAATGGTCTTCTTGTTCATCGTGGTTGGTTTGCGTCGGTGGCATCGGCATCTGTGCAGGCTCTGGTGGGATGTATCAGTGTCTGTCGTCACACCTTCTTCCG